CATTGATAATAATCAGAAATGTTTCTTGAGCAGCAAATCAGCATATTAGAATGATTTCTGAAGATCATGTGACACTGAAGACTGGAGTAATGATGCTGAAAATACAGCTGCGCATCACAGAAATAAATTACAGTTTAACAGATGATCACATAGAAACAGCTGTTGTAGATTCTAATTATTTGTAACAATTTTTACTGTATTTTTGATCAAATAAATGCAGCCTTAGACTTTTTGAATTTTGGAACGTTAGCATAAATGCACTTAATTTGTTCCCGAAGCCCTCTGAAGTCTAGAGCATAACTGTAACTAGTTCATATTTTCAATTATGCATCAATGAACTGATGTTTTTCTCACACTAATTCATGTGCATTTTTATCCATCCGTTGTTAATGCTGAAGCCAAACGTCAAGTGTGTTTGGTTCCCAGCGCTGCTTTTCTACTGTATCTCAATCCAAGCGTCCGCAGCGCTCTGGAGAACATCTCCAGCTGGTGAGCTAACATCTCAAATCTCAAAGCCTTCCGGAGAGCCGCTCTAACTGCCCTCTCCTTCATTCTGATTATATGTACAAGTTTATGAGCTTGCAGACGTTTTAATGGCCGCATGATTCAGTGGAGGAAAGGGTTTGATGTGGATAAGAACATGAGATTACAGCACATGCATTTAGACAAGCATAATGGGCTCCGAGCTCAATGCTTATTTTCTCTCTCTAGCAGTCTTGTGCCTAAGATCTTTGCTTTTTTTACATTTATTATGTATTTTTCTCAGATTTGATATAAGTTTTGCCAATTTACACTATGACACTATGCAGTTAATAAGACACTGTTGATGCATAAAATAAGACAACATATATAAAACTGAATATAATTAATTGTTTCAAACTGCATAATTATGTCATCTTAAAGGGGCCATATCACACTATATAATCACATTACACTATATATCACATTATATAATGTTATCATTTACAAACACTATGTAACAAATATAAAGCATAAAATGACCCTGAAAAACAATTCCAGGAGGCAAATTTTGCCATTGAAAAGATATATATATATATATAAAAAAAAAAATATATATATATATATATAATTAATTTGATAATTTGAGTGTTGCAAACTGGGTAATTATGTTATCTTAAAGGGGCCATATCATAATTTATTTTACATTTATTGTTTCTTTTTTTCCAGATAATGTTGTTTAGCCAATTTTCAGACATGTAGATAATATAAAGGATGCAAATATTGACACTTAATAAGAAATGTTCATTTCTAACATAAAACTATATACATAAAACTGATCTTAACTCTTTCAAATTGAGTAATGTTATCTTAAAGGGGTCATATCACACTTTTTTATGTTTATTATATGTGTCCCTGGAGCAAACAACTTTAAAGATGATTTTCTCAATATTTTAATGTTTGTGCACCCTCATCCTCAATCTAAAGTGTCTCATATTTAGTTTTATTAAAGGGACAGTTCATCCAAAAATGATCATTGTGTCATCATTTACACATCATCATGTCTTTCAAACCTGAAAACTTTCTTTTGTGAAACACAATAGAGTACTGGGGTCTAAATGATATTGGACCCCACTGACTTTTATTATATGGACACAAAAAGACATTTTTCAAAATATGGGGTTAAGTGAATCATTTTTGAGTGAACTGTCCCTTTAAGATGTTCTGCACATTCTCTGTGTGTTCACACTTCAGGAGCCGCTGCTAATCGTGCTCTTCTGGCTCGTCTTTGACCCCATCCCGAGGTTTTTTCCTCTATAAATGTACAGCAGGCTCTAATCTTTTACGGCTGCTATAATGCACCACTTAATTGAATGCTAGATTCTCTTAAACACACTGGAGAGAATAAAGCGCGGATGAAAGTATCTTTTTTTATCTCTGGGCTCTGTTTGAAGCGGCTGCCAAGCGTTTCCAGCTGATGAAACGGATCATTTATGCGATCTTCAGACCAAAGAAACAGCTTTTTCTGTGATTATATTCCTACTAGCTCAATCTGTGTTCTTCCCACTTAATCTAACAGGGCTAGAAATGAACCAGAAGTGACAAAAATCCCACATATATTTACAATTTGAGGGCAAAAACACTTCATTTCTTCATTTCGTATGTTTCATAGCATTCTTTTCTAGACTAGAGACACTAATACGAAGTGTAGAAATGACCCTGAAAATCAATTCCAGGAGGCAAATATTGCAAGTTAATTAAAAAATTTTCATTTCTGACACTGTTCTAATTAAGAGTTAATCAATTAATGTCAACTCAATTAACTTTCTACAGAATCTGCATAATATTTTATTAAAGCTGACAAGCGTTTGATGCTGTTGATTTTCACTTTTTTAATAAACAACCCATTTTTATTTATTTATTACTCCCCAAAAGCATGAAGTCTGTCTGATCTGTTCTAATTTAGAATGAATGAATTTAGAAGATAATGCTGGGTTGTTTCAGCCCAACTTTGGGTCAAACATGGATTAACCCAATTGTTGGGTTAAATTATTAAATTAAATTAAATTACATTTTTAACCCAAAAGTTGGGCATTTGACCCAAAAGTTGAGTTGACATAACCCAGCATTTTTTAGAGTGTACTTTTAAGTCAATACATGTTGAATAAGTTAAAGTGACATCTACAACTTGTTTAAAGTTACATTTGTAACAAAAAGTTTTTAACCTTTATTCTTTGGAAATAGTTAATGTTTTAAAATGTTTTTTTTTTTTTGACTGCGCGATACCAAAGACATTTTTGTTGGTATTTTAAATTTACTTAATCTAATTATGACATTTATATTCTATTCTCATATTCTTATTCAGTCTCTAACCCTAAACAGGACATTTCTAATAAGATGAATGAAAACACTCACCAAACACCATCATCATCATCATCATCAGGACACACACAGCCATTATTCCCGCAGAATGCGAGCGGTTTTCCTTCAGTAGCTTCATTCCTCAGATTAAGCACACATGAAGTTTCTCTTTTATCCAGAACTTTAAGATTGTAGTCCGAGAACATCCATCCGACCCACACGCACACACGCTCCAGCGCTTCATATGAGAGCAGAGCAGGAGAAGAAGAATCCAGCGCCGAGCCTCACTAGAGAGAGAGAGAGAGGGAGAGAGAGAGAGGGAGAGAGGGATGGAGAGAGAGTGAGAGAGAGAGATAGAGAGAGAGAAATAACAAGACAATAAACAATACAAATAAGACAATAAACAAGACAAATGTGGCTCTTAAAAGTGCCTTTTTTTCGATGTAATGAGGTAGACACACACACACAGAGAGAGAGAGAGGTTTGGACTCAGAGCTGAATTGCATTAGGAATCTCAAATCCAGACCACATCAAACAGATCCTGATCTCAGAACGATTAAAATTCCTCCTGTTCGAACGTGCAACTAAATGTCGAGGACATTTACTTTTCTTGTGTAATTAAATATAAGTATCTCAAACACACACACACTCACAGGTTTGTTTTTGTGAAAAGTGGGGACATCCCATAGGCGTAATGGTTTTTCTACTGTACAGACCGTATATTCTATTGCCCTACACCAACCCTACCCCTAAACCTACCCCTCACAGGAAACTTTGTGCTATTTCAGATTTTCAATACACTCCATTCTGTGTGATTTATATGCGTTTTGAAAAGTGGGGACATGGGGTAATGTCCTGAAAAGTCACCTTCTCCTTGTAATACCCATGTCATACCCTTGTCATTATACAAATTTATATCCTCATTTGTCACAAAAACGCGCGCACACACACACACACACACACATATATATATAAATATAAACACAACAAAATTACTAAAACATTAACTAAAATGAAAATTGAAAAACTGATTCAAAATATTAAAACTAGAATATCTCAAAGACACTAAATTAACACTGATATAGATTTTTTATTTATTTAAATATTTTATACACAAATTTAGTAAATTTAGTAGGAATAAGCCTTTTTTTTAACCTTTTACTTGACGATTTAAAAGTTCTACATTTATGTGATTTCTGAGTCATCTAATAAGTGTTACGTGGCTGACAAGACGTGAGACATGCGGATCCATATGCAAGCTTTACACACACACACACACAGAGACACACACTCACACGTACACACTCACTCTCTCACACACACACACACACACACACACACACACACTCACACACACACAGAGACACACACTCACGCTCACACACACACTCACACACACACAAACCTGCCAACATAGAGGCCGTGCAATCAATACTTTACAAGGGCTCTGAGTGAAGTTTTGCTGTCTAAACTCCATGTGGATTCACTTCAGCTCTCATGCAGATGGAGACAGAGACGCCGTTCTTTAAAGAGGACGTCCCTCCTAAAAATTACACGTTTGTCATCAATTTCTCGCCCTCATGTTGCTGCAAACCCTTATGACTTTCCTTCTTCACAAAAACGCCATGTTCAGTGGAATGTCTGAGTAGTTTAAAACACTATCAAAAGACTTGCATTATAGCACACACTTGTTTTTATCTTTCAGAGAAGAAAGTCAGTCGTACAGGTTCTTTCTCATCATATTATGACTATAATTACTTGTATTTACTTTCTTCTCTTAAATTTATTTTTATTATATTTATTTGTCTTCTACACTGTATTCTTTCCCTCTTATTGCATATTACGTGCTTTGCACTATTTTCATTTTGCTCTTATTTTAATTGCATGCAATGCTGCAATCGCTTTGCCAAAACAAATGTATACAATATTTGTCATGCCAATAAAGCAGTGAACTATCCCTTTAAATTATGCATTCACTGACTTCATCTTGCACTGGTTGTGTTAAAGCGAATCCACATGCTATTTATAGAGTAAAACATGTCTTTGTAACATTTAGAAAACTCTGTAAATGCTGCATCTGACAGACGGAGAGGAACGGCAATGGTGTCACAAAAAAGCAAAACAAGGCGAGCTTTAAACGCACTGACTGGCTTGAGTTTCTCTCAGTTCAAAGCACTTTAATCTTCTGGTTTGGCTGCAATCAGATGGGATTTGAGTGTCTCTCTCTCTCTCTCTCAGTCTGTGCGCCTGTCTCTCGCCCGCTGGCAGCTGTGAATGTGTGGAAACAGAGATGTTGGCGAAGCCTCTGAAGCGGTGACTTCATACCGATCCGCTGCTTTGAATCGCTGTTGTTCACTTTTCCTGTCTCTATTGTTCGAACTGAATGTTTTCTGGAAAACCACATCCTGAGAAACGGCTCGAGTCGAGTTCAGCTTGAGAGAAACTCGCAGCACTTCTGGCTGTCAGTATCTGCGATTCCTCCTCGATTCTGATGAGCAAAGAGCCAAAGACAGATGCTTGAAGAGCGAGCAGAATCATGTTTACTGCGGTGATTTACAGCAGCTGATCTGTTCGAGACGCTGGAGCTCATTTCAGGAGTGTTAGAGATCTGTGTGAGAGAGTTTCACAAACCCTCAAAACACACGTTGACCTCTGACCTCTCTGTGTGTGTGTGTGTGTGTGTGTGAGAGAGAGAGTGTGTGTGTGAGTGAGTG